TCCTGATGAGCACAAGTCCTATTGTGCTGCAGCCTGAGAGCCTCAGGCTCGACAGCAACAGTAACAACACCCAGCAGCAACAAATGCAAAATATCCTCAAAACAGCAGCTTTGCCAGGACCTGGCCCTAGTCACGGACCAGCCGGTTTGTTTGCTCCCAGAGCACACACTGACAGCACATCCGTCCCCCTGTGCCCCTCTGCCAGGGGGCCTTGGCCACCAGCTGCCCCTCCCGGGCCACCACCAGCCTCTACCCCGTCCCAGCTGATGCCCATCTGGGCATTCAGCTGCTGGCACAAACCACCTGGGACAGCATGGAGAGACTCTGAGCCACAGGCAGCCTTCCCACCGAGCCCCCCAGCCTCACCTGAACGTCCCCGGTGCACTGAGGGCTCCAGCGTGGGGGACAGGCAGCTCCAGTCTCAGGTGACACCAGCCCATGGCTTTATGGCAGTGTCTCTGCCAGCCCCAGGGTGGCCCAGAAGGCACCTGCCTCTTCCCTGTCTGCTGCCCCCAGTCCTCCCAGACGTGTTTCCAGCCAGGAGCAGAACAAGGTGGAGAGGGCAGGGACCCAAAGCTGAGGTTGCCCAAGGCATCACTCCCAGCAAACCCTGCCCTGGCTGGGAGGAGGACTGGCCTGCACGGAGCCTGGGCAGGGACACTACATGGTTATGGAGTCCCCTGGCCAGCAACCTTTCCCAGCCCTCCTTGGGCATGGACACAGCCCCACGGGGACACACCTGAGCCACTTCTCCCCCTCTCCTGGCTGGTAGCACCACAGAGGGCTGGGAGCAGGCAGGGTGGGCACACTGTGCCATCATCCCTGGCTGAGTCCACCCGGGTGAGGGGATGAACCAGGTCCCCACCAAAATGGCACAATGAGAAACCAAGGCTGTTTGAGGGCAAAGCAGCAGCTTGGGGGCTTTTCTGTCTTTTAAATTTCATTTTGTTATTGTGGGTGCCAGGACTTCCTCAGCTGGATCCAGATTCACCAACTATAGCTCTAAAACCTGCAGCACAGCCCCTTCCCCACACTCTGCCTTCCTACAGGGAAGCATCCCCAAGCCCCTGGGGATGCAGGTGGACCTTACCCTGCTCCCCAGTTCCACCACCCCAGGAAGGAGCTCGGCTCTCCCACCTCTGCCACCACATCAGCTCCCTCCTTCCTGGGAATGGCAGCTGAATCCAGCACCCAAAATCCAGGTGGAAAATGGGCCGTGTCAGAGCACGAAGAGCAGCTGCCAGGAGAGGCCCAGACAGCCACGTGCCTGGCACAGCATCTCCTGCCCACGGAAAGGTTTGAGGCAGAGTCACAAGGCAAGCAGAGGAAGGAGAGGAATGTGGGCAGGTCAGGGCACCCAGAGCTTTCGGCAGCTCAACGCCCTCGGGAGCTGCTGCCCAGCTCCAGGTACAGCCCAGAGCTCCTGGGAGCTGGAGTGAAACAGGGACGAGCTTTTACCTCCCCAAGGCTGCACAGAGGGAAAACATCTTGGCTTGTCTGCTGGTCCAGCTCTGCCGGGATTCCCACTCGGGGAGGTTCCAGGAGCCAAGCGCCTCCCGGTGCTCTTGGAGCCTCATCCCTTGGTGCGGTTGGAGGGAGCGTGCACAGCTCTGTGTTTCCAGCTCCACTGCCTGACCCGACGCAGGAATGACATCCCTGTGCAGCCCTGGCAGAGGGAAGCCTTTCCCAGATGACTGAGTTGCTCCTGAAAGGCTCTTTTAAAGAATAAACTAATTAAGCAGCAGCCTTCACTGCTGCAGTGAGCAGCCCCTCGGTGCAAATTAAAGGTGACAGCGGTGTCTGAGCCAGAGCTGCTCCCCAACCTTGCCCCCCCCAGCTGCTCCTCGAGCTCCTGCCAAGGGTGGGAGCTGGGTGGCTCCTGTGGGACTCCCACCCTCCACTCACTCCTGTTGCCAGTGGGGGCTGCCTGGCCAAGGGCTCCCAGACCCACTGAGCAGCTGGTGGGGCTTGGGGGTGATGTGAGGCCATGGGAATACCATGGAAATCAAAACCTAACAGTGCCACCCAGCAGCAGCCGCTGGGTCCTTGGGGAGACACAGCTCCTGGCAGCCCCTCCCAGCCCAGAGCAGCTGCAGGAAGCTGATTTACTCCGAGAGAAGCTGATTACAGTTCCCTGACACCCAGGAAGGCCACACAGGCAGCAGAGCCACAGCAGGGCCAGAGGCTTTGGAGCCGCGTTCGCTCCGGGGGCACTGGGGGGTCCTTCAGGGGATGGGCTGGGGGAGCATCCTCTGTGCTGCTCCTGCATCTCTGCCCCAGTCATCTCACTAATTCCAGGCACCAATTAACAGCAGTGAGTAGGCAAGAGCTTGGCATAATCCCGGTGTGGCATTAGAGCGTGGAGAGCCCAGAGCACCTGCACTGCAAAGCCTATTGCAGGTAACAGGGAGTCACATGGAGACCTAATGGGCTTTTGGCTCCAGCCCTGCGGCGGGACCCATGAGCTCCTCATTCCCTGGGGTAAGCTCCTTATCTCTGCAGGGAGCTCCAGAACCCCTGACAGCTCAGACAGCCCCGGCTCCTTCCCCTGCCCACGTCAGGGCCGAGCCCCCCGCTCTGGCACAGCCCCAGGACCACCGTGTGATGTGCCTGCTCCACCACAGCAGAGCCCGGGAGGGCAGGGGCTGCTCCTGACACATCCCAGAGCACCACGGCACGGGCAGGACACGGCCCAAGGGGACAGCAGGGAAGGGTTTCTGGGGGAGCACTCACCTGCACGGATGCCATGGCCCAGCCTGGGCAGGGATCACTCTGCTGCCTCCCCTCCTCCCCGTCCATCCCGGGATGGGAGCAGGGCCGAGGCAGCCGAGCTCACGGCGAGGGACCGGCCCTGGGGATGGAGGAGCGTTGGGATCTCCTCTGGCACAAACACTGCTGTGCCCGGCAGGCTCTGAATGGCAGCAGAACAGGGCGAGGATGGACCCAGCCCTCCACACCCCCCGGCACAGGAAATCACCCTCAGACGGGAACAGAGGAAGGAAAAAGGTGACCCAGCGCGGGGGGCAGGAGGCACAGCCGGGCTGCTGACACTGCCCAGCACCGCCCTCCAGCCGGGACCACCCCGGGGGGGCAGCCTGACCTCTGCCCAGCCACCACCTCCAAACAAAACTGCTTCCCACCTATAAATACACCTTCTGCAGGAGGAGCTTGGCCATCCCAGGGCACCCACAGACCCCAAGTTCACCATCCACCTCTGCAGGGATACAGGAACCAGACACACAGACACTGGCACAGCTCCAGGCACTCCATCCCACACCCAGCTCCAGAGACTTGGCTGAGGAGGGGATGAGTCCCCAGCACGATCCAGCCCTGGAGCTGTGAGGGACAGGCCACACTCATCCTGCAGCACTGGGAGCAGAAGGAGCTTTCCTGTGCTCGGGTACCAGGCAGGTGTTGTAGCCCCTCACCTTGCAGAGACACAGCCTGTTCTTCAGCAGGGCTTCACCCCTGAGCTTGGCACGGCAGGATGATCGGAGAGGCCTTTTCCAACCTAAAGGACTCTGGGAAATTGCTGCCTGGGAGCCGATGATTGATGCCTCAGGCCATCAGGGGACACTTCACCCTTCCCAGGACCTGGAAGGAGCAGAGGCTTCCCAGCTTGGAGAGGCCACACAGCACCAGGCACATCCCCTCCCTGGGGAGGCCGAGCACTGCAGGAGCAAAGCCCTCGGAATCTGCCACTCCTGCATCCAGAACACCCCTTGGCTGGGGAGGCAGGGACAGGACTGAGCCTCCCGCTCCCTGCTCACCTCCCTTCCCTGCCTGTGGACAGCCTGGAAAACAGAGCAGGTGGTGCCTCCTGAGCTCAGCAGAGGAGCAGCAGAGCGGGGAAGGAGGCTCAGCAGGTCCCTCCATGTGAGGGGAATGTGGCTGTGACCCCCCAGGATACAGGCCTTGCCCAGGGCTGTGGGCTGGCACCACCTCCAGCTCCTGCTCCCACCCTCACTCTGGCTGTCCTGCTCTTGATTTTCCAGCAGGACACCAGGGAGCTTCCCAGAGAACAGCAGGATCCCCAGAAGATCCATCCAGGTCTCGGTACAAACACCGTTCTCTGAACACAAGCACTGACAGCGAAAGGTTGTTTTCCCTCTTGGGGCAGCTGGCAAAGGATAAATCCATTGTTCAGCCCAGAACACGGTCCTGGCTCTGGTTAACACGGTGATAAATAACGAGCAGTAGCTAATTAACCTAATGAATCTGTGAAAGAGCAGACAGTGACTGGAACACCCCCAGGAGCCAGAGGAGCACCCACCTTCCCAGGGCTCCAGGGCTGCTCCCTCTCAGCCTGGAGCTGGGCAGGGAAGGCACAGCCCCTGTCCCTACTGTGCCTGCCCTGGGCAGGATTCCTGGCAGGAACCCACCTCGGGAGCGCTGCGGCAGCTCCCAGCCCTGCCTCAGTTTCCATGGCAACTTCCCCTCACATCATTGCTCAATATTGTTCTTTTTCCATTCAACAGCAGATCCTGCTGCTCTTTTGAACAGCTCGTTATCCTGCCGGACCATCCCTGTCCCGGCCCCGCCCTGCACAGCTCGGGACCCGGGTGGGTCTCTGTGCTCCGGTACAGGAGGGCACAGGGGCAGGGTGGGACACGACCCTGCTGGATTCCTGTCCAGGGAATCTGCTCACACCTTCCCTGAGCCCATCTTCACACACAGGCAGCTCCTGGGAAGGTGCAGCCCATGTCTGGGGACATGTGGGTGCAGGACCCTCCCATTTCTCAGTCCCCACAGGAAGGGCACAATCTCACCCCACCCACACCAAAACAGCCCTTGGATCCCCAGATAACTGTGATTTCCTGCAGTAACAGCTGTGATTAAAACCTGGTGTTTTGCCTGGAAATAGCAGCTACTCAGGCCAGAGCCAAGTCCTGCAACACCATTAATGCATGTCCCCAAACCCCTCATTCCCTTGGCTCATCCCAGCCAGGACACTCTCGGGGCAGGGACTTGATAGGAACACAAACATCAGAAACAACATCTGAAATTAAAAAAAGTTTATTTGCAGCTCTGTAAAACAGCTCCATGAAAGACCAACATTTCCAAACACTACGAGATGAGAACACGTTTTCCTACTGTTAGAATATAAAAAAAAAGTCACAGTCCTTCAACTACCCCAAGAGAAGCGAACATTTATGGACCAAACATGGCACTTGCACCACCACCACGTCAATGGGTCGGGTCAGACAGTCAATAGCACCAGCACAGGTGACACAGCCCCGGGGGTCTGTCAGACTATGGAATAAAGCAGGTTAGTGAGGCCAGGCCTCGTTCAGAGCAGCCCTACGAGCACGGAGTTCATACAGAGACACACCAAACACATTCCTTCACACCCCACCAACACAAACAGCGAGCCAGGAACAGCACAGAGCTCCCGGGAGCTCCGGGCGTCCACCTGGGACAGGAAATCTTCAGGACTTTACATGCCAGCTCCATTTCACACACACAACTTTGTTCACCTTATGTTTACAGGGCCTGTGCAAGAGCTGTGCAGTGGGGAGGTGAAGGACAGATGCAGAAGTGGACAGTTGCAGGGACCCAGGCTGGGATTACACCGCTTTCCGGTGGTACTCCGGAGGGGCCACTTCATAGTCACTGGCACTGAACAATGCAGAGGAATTCTTTGCTAAATACCTACAGAAGTGATAAATAGATTAAATTACCTTCCTGCCCGAATTCTCCACCGTTCAGAACCGTGTGAGTCCTCAGGTGTGAGCCCAGAGCACACGATGGGATTTGAGCAGCACAAATCTCACACCAGCTGTGTCAGGTTAACTCCACATTTGACAGCTCAGGCCAAAAAAATCAATTAAAACCCAAAATCAATTCCAAGCAAGCTGTCAAACTGCTCTGGCTCCAGGTGAGGTCAAGATTAATAAGATGAAACAGCTGACATTTGAGGTTCAGGCAGCTGCAGTACATCTACTACTGACCTACTCAAAAGGAGAGGGAACAGGACCCCAGGGAGTTCTGTCTGCACAAACAGGGAACCTCAGGGGCTGAATGAATGATGGCAAAACAAGGGATGGCCAAAGGTAAACGTTATGTGCCCCTCAAATCTCATCAAATGGATTCAGAGATTTCTGGTCACTGGCTTCACATTTCTGCCTTTACAGCCAAAGCTCTTCAGACCTGCATTCACCTCAGACTGACCCAAAAGACCAGGATCTACTCAAGGCTCTCGGGCTATTCCAAGGCAGTTTTTCCCTGGCTTTCAGGCTGATCCATTCCAAGCCCTGCTGCAGAGCCATCCTGGATTTACTGAAGGTTTTCTTTCAACTTCCAATTGCTTATCCAATCACATAATCCTGGAATGGTTTGGGTTGGAAGGGACCTTAAAGCTCATCTCATTTCACATTAAAGCCTTTTATTATCATTCAGGATGGTGTTTTCCTCCCAGATATCCCACAGCCACAGGGCTGCAGCACAAGCACACTAAAGCTCCACTGACTGTCTGTCCCAGAAAAAACATCCATAAAGTTCATCAGTTTTTAAATATTTGCTCAACTGCTGTTGAGTAACTGTTGTGTAATTCAACAGCTTGCTGGAATTATCATCATCTGCTTTTTATAGCAACTAGAAATAAAAGTTGAAGCATTTATTTTGAAACAAGTAGCAGATTTGGGCAGTTTAGAAGTGCAGATTAACAGAATCCAGGAATGGTTTGTGTTGGAAGGGACCTTAAAGCTCATCCCATCCCACCCCTGCCATGGGCAGGGACACCTTCCACTAGCCCAGATGGCTCCAAGCCCCGTCCAACCTGGCCTTGGACACTTCCAGGGATCCAGGGGCAGCCACAGCTTCTCTGGGCAACCTGGGCCAGGGCCTCCCCACCCTCACAGCCAGGAATTCCTTCCCAATGTCCCATCTAACCCTGCCCTCTGGCAGTGGGAAGCCATTCCCCCTTGTGCTGGCACTAGCAATAATCTCAGTATAACAGGAGAGATTTAAAACCAGTCTTACTGTGCTCCTGTACAGCAGTCAGAGCTTCACTGGGATCCAACGCTTCACTGTGAAGATCCCAGACACAGGCCCCAAATCATACAACAATTCACTGAAAACAGGCAGCAACACAACAGCCTGTGCTTCCTGAACTTTGCCTTTCTTGCTGCAAGACCTTCCCAGTACTTACTTTAAGAAGTCATGCAAATAGTTTAACAGCAAGGCCAGACTCTTCTCATCCAGGGGCGTGTAGGCGAGCATGGCTCCGATCCGCACTGCTCCAAAGGAAGGAGCACTGGTTACTCACACAACACCTTCCCAAGGGCTGCAGCACAGCCCACAACTTCACAGTAGCACAGAAAAGCAGCCCAGCAACCTACTCCAATATGCACAAGCTCAATGGGACTGTTAAAAGCTCATTTCCACCCCAAAGCCCCCAACGGCTCTGAGCATTTTGGATACGGGTGGAGTGAGGAAAAGAGTGAACCCACGATCCAGAGCTGCCTGTCACGGACTCAAGAGGGGAAAAGAAGTATCTGAATCCTTCCAACTGCTCTTCCTCACCCTCCCGAGGTGGTACTCACCAAACAGCCTCAGGAGGTGTGGGGCACCGTAGACCTGAGACATGGGAGCATCCGGGTGATCCGCCAGGATTTCGGCGTATTGGGGCCTCTCAAACTTGTAGAGCAGCTGAGTTCCCAGCATGACGTTGAAATACTCCTTAATTCCAGCCACCACCTCATTGACAGCGTACTCCCTGGGGACAGAGCACACTGCCAGCCTTGCTCCAAGGATGGGATGGGCACAGGGGGAGCCCTGGCTTGGTGAGACCAGCAAAATCCTGAGGATCTTGGACAGGGCCTTCAGATCTTCCAGGGAAATTTGTCTGGAGACCTTACAATGTACAGCCATGGGGAGTGGTGCATTTCCAGACCTCCCTTGAAAATGGGCTGTTCTGAACTCAGGATTCAGGCAAACCAAGAGCAGCCTTGTTTTTAGTCACCCACTCAGAGACATGAACTCTTGGAGCAGCCCTTCCAAAGGAACAGGCAGGATTTTAGGGACACTCACCAGCTCTTCTCTTTTCACCAAAGTTCATCCCAACTCACAACACTTTAAAAGTACAATATTGAAGTAACTGGACTGAACTCCTGCTTAAAGAGAGGGACAGCCCCCAGTATTTCAGGCACCTGATCCCTTCTTCCCAGACCTCTCCTGCCATATTCCTGCAGGCCTCCAAGTTCACCCTGCCTGGACAGGAATTGGTGACACTGAGCAGCCCAGCCCTCACTCCACCCTGCCAACACATTCAGAGCAGACATCAGGACAATTACAAAGGAGGTTAAAACACCCTGACAAGTCAACAATCTGCCTCCTCCTGAATGGCAGAAAATAACTTCCCCTTTCTGTTCTCTCTCCCTTTCAAACAGGAAAGCTTCCTTCAGAATAAACACACCTTGTTTTGGTCAGGGCTGACTGCTGGGGTAATTACAAATGAGTAATTAGCTCTGCTCATCTGAATGTTTTACCAGTCCTCATGCACCTCCCTGTCCCTGTGCCTGGGAGGGAGCCCAGCAGCTCTGAGCTCACCTACCAGGCAGCTCTTCTGGGCTCTTTGTATCATCTTCCCCCAGGAGAAGGCTTGGGAAAAGGGGGAGAAGCAGAAATAATACCCAGAAAGCAGAACTGCAGTCTGGAATCACCCCCCCAAGATTTCTAAACTCCCCCATCACCTTGGTCTTGGAACAGGATGCTGGACACTGGGCTGGGCCTTGGTTCACAAGTTTACTTGATTTTTCCAAGTCCAACAACAACAGCAAAAGAAGTGTTTAAGGCTGGAAATGGCCACAACTCACTTGTTATCAGTATTTCCTCGGGATTTTTTGTAGTTTGCATAATCCTCTAAAATGGAGTCAACATTCTTCTTGGCAGGAAGGTAGAAGAGCTGCAAAGAAGTAAAACAGAACAAATACAAGTTGCCTAATTTTTGCAGACATTTATACCTGGAAGCTGAATTGAAACCAATGCACACAAGGGCATTTTCTAGACTGAAAACAGCAAGTTAATGTGTTATGTGTTATTAAAGGAACACACCAACTGTTTTAATGGACATACAAAACCCCAACCAACCTGAGCACCCTGGGCCATGGAAGGTGTCCCTGCCCATGGCAGGGAGTGGAATGAGATTGGCTTTCATGTCCCTTCCCACCCAAACCATCTCAGGATTCCAGGACTATATCCATGTTTCCATTTAACTCTTGTGCTGCTCCACAGCAACCTCATGATGAACTCCTGAATTAAATAAAGTCATGCCAAGAGTCACAGATACACAGCAAGGCACACACGTGCCCCCCCAGACTGGATCATGATTTTTACACCTCTGGGATGGCCCAAACTGTTCTCCTGCCCAGTCACCTGCTTCTGCCTGGTGATCAAGTCCCAGTCATCTACCAGCCATGGCTTCAGCTCTTCTGGGATCTTCACCTTCACTTCAACTCTGTTCATAAATGTTTCTTCCTGAGAAAAGCAAAGCCACACTCATCACTCCCAGGTGCTAATGGTGAGCACAGCCCCCTTCCTGTTTTACCCAGATCCTGGAGGGGATGGCAACACTCACACTTTCCACCGTGGGATCTACTCGAGCCCTTTTCTTCCTCGGGGGCTGGGGAGTCTCACTGGTGCTGCTCCCCTCTCCAATGCCTGGAGCTGTGCAGAACACACTTTATCAGTGAGAAACACCAGGGAAGATTTACCAGAAGGATTTAAGACTCGGATTTCTCTCAGATCACCTTTCTGTTTGGCTGGTTTCTGTGTGACATGTTACTTGTGTGCTGGCAGTCCCACATTTGTGACAGTTTCAACTGCACCAACACGTGCCTGAAGGTGGAGTTTCTGCACTAAAACCAAACCAATGTGTCACTGTCTGGAATATTCTCTAGCACAGTTTTTGGGCCCAGCAGCTCAGCTTTGCAGCCGTGTCCCACCTCCAGCTCAGTAAGAAAACATAAGTCTGACTTAGGAAGTTATTTCCACAGATCCAGGGAGATCTCACTTGGGTTTTAATCTGCAAGAGGTCAAAATCCTGACAGACTGAAACGAGTAGATCTTGTGCAAAGCAGAAGAGTGTGCACCCCTCCTGGGCAGGGGGGACTGAGGAGTGCAGGAGGGACAGCACAAGGGAGCAGTAATTACAGATTTAAGGTCTTTCCAGCTAAGAATCCTTCACTAAGGGGATCCACTTATATACAAAATACATACTTACTTTTCTGCTTGTTCTTTTTTGTTTTCCTGCAAAAAGAACACAAATTATTGCAAATATGAAGAGAGTGGTACTTCAGGAAGCCAAAGCAGAAAGCCAGAACAATTGTCCACTAAGTTCAGTGCAAGGAGCAGATACTCAGGGGCCTGGGGAGTGTTTAGATAAAAACACATGAAAGAAATATCAGCTATGACTTCATGTAACAGGTTAGAATTCACCTTTTCTTTGGATGTTTTGTCCTTCCCAAGTGCTCCTGGAGAACTACACTAGATCTGTAGGTGTTCTAATTCTGTATTTCAAACAGAATATGGGACAAGGAAACAGAAGTGCTGGGAATTACCAGATAAATCTCAGTCAACTGAATCGATTTCCAGTAAAATATTGAAAACTCCCCCAGTTTTACCACTACAGCAGCAGAGGGAAGTTTCAGTAGCACTTTGTTTGTTTGCTACCCATTTTCATAAAGTTTTAACTGGAGTACTACTTGTCACGTCTCAGTTTTCTCCCTGCTAACAGCAGGCCAGTGCAACTGCTCCCAAAGCAGTTTGTGTGGACAGAACCCATTACCAGTAAGAGATTATTTCCTTGCAAATTCACCATCGCCTCAAGTGACTCGTTTTCAGGCTCTGAGCTGGGTTTATCTGGGCCAGGAAAAAGGCAGAGTCCCCAGGAAGGGCTGAAGATAAGAAGAGTAAGGGTTGTTTGTTTTGTTTTTTTTTTTTTTAAACTTCAAGTCAAACAAGCACTAGGCTGAAACTGGGGGCAGAATAAAGCTCATCTCTGCAGAAAGAAGGAGCAATGGCCAAGTGAAGCCACTGATAGGGGACTGGTGCATTGAAGAGAAAGGCTTTTCTTCCAAACCTAAAGTAAACAGGGAGGAACAGGGAGTTCTTCCCAGAATTAAAATCACAAGATAAAAATTATGTTAAGCATTAGAATTGAAGCAGAGTTTTAACCACTGGAACAGAGGGGCAATATAATATAAATAATGTAAAGTCCTTATCAAATATAAAGCTGAACAGCACCATGCAGGTGCCTCATGCTGCAGATAATCCTTTCCTGCAAGGACAAGTGGAATGCAAGTCCTGAAGGGACACAAGAGATTGAACCTACTTAGGATGGGTTAAACACATCCTTTTGTGCCACTTCCCAACCACATGGGAACAGAAGCCCCAAACTTGCACTGCCTTCTCTTTCCACAGCCCAGCTCTGCATTCCCCTCTTTCTCCCTTCACTGCCACTTTTCACTGAACTGGACAACAAAACTGAAAAGCACCATGGAAGCCTCAAAGAAGCTTCTTTGGAAAGAATTTTAATTAAAAGCCTGAACAGAGGTGGGAGGTGCTGAAGATCTCACAGTTCAAACTTAGAGGAGGAATGTGGGGGGGGGGGGGATCACAGCAATGAAAGGTGAAGCCTGAAGAACTGAGCAATCTTTCCCCAAGACAGATGAAAAACACCAAAAAGCCCCAAAGCAGCAGACATTAAAATGACAGGAGTCATCCTCCTCCTTCCTCACCTCTTCAAAAAGAAAACAGGCTGCCACAAGATGATGGGGAGGCCAGAAGTCCAAAGGGTTCAGAAGTTACTGGATAAATATAAGACAGTCCCACACAGGGACATTAAACCATCACATGGACACAGCCTTCAGCTCTGGGGTCCCTCAGTCACAGAGGGCTGGAAGCACAGAGGTGTTTGGGGGGAGCATCTCTGGCCCTGATTCACTGGTTCCCTCTGGGCACACGTTACTGGTGGCCAGAGAGGAGGAGGGGAAGGAACCTCCAGCCTGAGCCGGTCCCAGAGCTGCCCCAGCCCTGCACAACTGGCAGGGTTTGGAGGGTGTTTGGCATTTGGAGGGCCTGGAGTGCCTGGGAGAGCCACCAGCTGTGCCCAAGGGAGCAGGGGATGCCCCGAGCCAGGCAGACAACACACCTTGGCACGTTCAGGTCAACAACAAGACTTGTATTAGCAGAAAAAACAGCTAATGCTGGTTTTAAATAAACCCACCACCAAACCAATCCACTGCTGCCAAACCTACGTGACCCAGCTGAGGACTCTGAGAGTCTGTACAAGAAGTGTAGGGAAGCAAAGAGGTTTGGATTGTAGGACACAAGCCCTGGTGTGACAGTGCCCCCTGACTCACCGTGTGGAGATGGCAGGGGTCTCCAGACAGCAAACAGTGTGGGCTCCATCCCGGCGGAAAAACCTGCGGGTAAGGACACAATGTCAGACCTGGTGGGTGCTCAGCCTTCAACTGGGTCTAAGCATTTCCTCTCCCTCAGCCTCCAAAAGGGGAGAAAAATAGGGAGACTTTGTTGGAAGCAGCACCGAGGGAAGCACTGGATGTGGTTTTGGCCGGAGATGAGCAGCAAGCTCAGTGCAACAACTGTTCTAACCTGTTCTAACCCACCTCCCCAGGCCAGGCTGCTGCTCCAACAACAGCTTCCCTCTCCTCCTTCACAACTCAAAATCCATCACCAAAGAATTAGTTTTTCCAATCAGTGAAACAGAAGTTTCAGAGAACTACCTTATGTCTGCTTTGTTCTGCTGGAGACAGCCACAAGAGCTTAGGATAGTGGTGGCAGCAGAAAGCCAAGCCAGGCCCTTCCCAAAACTTGTTTCAACCAGGAATGAAGTCAGACCTGGTAATGTCTGTAAAGCTTTACAGTTTCACAGGGGCTTAAACCAAAATCATTTTTGCCACGGGTCTCCCTTGGACACAACATCAGGTGTGGGTGAGAGGGTTAGCCCACGTCTGACTTTAAGCCCAGGTTAACACTTAGTGTTTACTCAGCCAGAAACAACTCCCCCTGCTCTCAGCCTGAGCTGCCTGGGTGACTCAAGCTGGAACCTACTCTGCAGTTACTCTTGCCATGCTCTCTGTAGTGCAAACTACACACTTACAACTGAGGCATCTCTGCCTCTGCCAGACTTACACCTGGGATTAACCCTCCTCCCACTGACTCACATGTGAGATGACTCCAGTGTGACAGCCCCTTAAGCAGCCAAATTAGTAATGGTCATAATTTAGACCTGGTTTAATTAGACTTTAATGACAATCATTATCAACTATGTACTCAGAGAGGTGGGGTGGGCTTTTGTCACCCCCAGAAGATGACAAGCAGTGCCTGGTCCCTGTCAGAGGTTGGTGCTGAGCTGACAGAGCACAACCTGGGCTGGTGTTGGAGCCCCTGGGAGCCCCCAGCAGAGCACAGGGGGCACCCCCAGCACTGGGGATCAGCCAGATCCACTGGCTCCCCATCCCAGAGACCAGGAGCCAATTACAGCCTGGGCTGGGCTTTGCTAATCCCAAAGTGAAACTGCTTCAGGATGCAGAGCAAACACCAACTAACTGACCCCAGTACTGCTGCCTTCTCAAACCAATGATTCACAGTTCATAACAAAGCTGCCCACAGATGACACATGAAATCTCAGGCTGCTGCCAAATCCACTTCTGAAGAACTGATGCCATTTCAGCAGCTTCCTCATGGACACCAGAATCATAAAGGGAGTCAGGAATTCAAAACATCCCATTAGCAATGACCATCTTCATAATTAAGGGAAACAACTACCCCAAACAGAGGAGTTTAGTGACAAATGAGCAAAGCAGCAGAGCTGCACTGACTGTGTGAGAATCTACCACAATACCTCTTCTGAAAACCAAAAGGATGGAGTGAGAAATCTGACAGTTACAGCCTCAAATTGATTTTTTCCAAAAAATGTCTGAGCTTGCTTCTGGTCTCTTAAGATGCAAACTCATTTTTAATAGAGTATGGGTTTAGTTCTGTCAAAACCAGCCAAACAGACTCTTATAATGCAGTTTTGATAATTCTGCAGTGAGAAGGCATTGTAAGGATTTTATTCCCAAGAGCTTGCAGAGCCTGGAACAAGTGGGAAATTCTATATGAAAACTGGTTTCACTGAGATACACGAGACTTATGAGGAATCACCACTTTTTGAGTGTCAGGTCACCAACCCAAAGAGGAACAGAGTGTAAAAAATGCAGGGTGTGTTTACTCAGTACCCCCATTCAGTCCTGAACTCTTCACCATCTAAAGGCAGTTTAATAAAATACTTCAACAAAGGCCTTTTTGACATCATGTAACACAGCTTTTGCACGGGCTGTGTCACAGGAAATGGAGTTTAACCTGCAGGCCCATTCTAAAAAAAATCCTACAGATCAAGAGTAAAACAGACAAGCAAAGGTTTAAGAGCTGTTTGGGGTGGGGGGTTGGGGGTTGTTTTGTGTGGTTTTTTAAAATAAAAACCTTCTTACACTTCAACATTCTTCTGCTGCAGACCAGAAGTTTTCTTGCCTGGAGCAGCTCCTCTCATCTTCCCCTCTGCATATTGTTCCCTTTAAAAAGAGGAAATTCATAAATGAGACTTTAATGGAAAAGAAGCTTGCTTTATTTTTTTTAAAAACTCATTAACTTCCCTTGATATGTAGTTGTTGGATCAAAGCTCTTAAAAATATTTACTGAGAAGGATTTTCTACCAAAATTACTCACTGATTGGCCTTTTGAAGTTCCTTTTGTTTCTGCAGGTTGGTATCCACGTATTTGAGCACTCTGCTTTCTGGAACCCATTCATCCCAGCTGCAAAAAAGCCAAAATACCAGATGATCACTCCAAAACTTCAAGAACAATTGCATTCTACACACAACAGTCAATTCAAAACTTCACAGAATTTGGGACTAAACTGCTTTTTGTGTCAAGTCATGGACTGGCACAACTCAAGGTGTAAGTTACCAAACACATTCCCCACTGACTGAAGTGGAATGGTTTTTCTAGGGAAGTGTAACCCTCAGGCATTTCCAAAGAATTTCCCAAACTTGAAGACAGGCAATTCAGGAGGGAGAGGACTGACTTTAACTCAAAAGAAGCATCACAGGAAAAGAAAAATAATATTCCATGCTTACTAAATTATGGGACACCTGCAGCCATAATATATTAAGAAGCAAGTTTCCTTTATCTATTCCAACATTTTATAGGTTAACAAATTCAGCAATAAGATCTTACTGTAAGGAGAAGAGCTCTGATTTCTGTCTGTGAAGGAAACCAAGATGGAATGAATATTTGAAGAATCTGAACGATTTAAGAGAAGAGGTGTTGGGGAAATTGCCATTACGAGCAGCAATTCCACTCTGACAAAGAGTGGGTCATCTGAGCAATCAGTTTATTTCAGATAAAACACATTAAAAGTGGCCAAGGTATTCTAAAGTTAAAGCTCTTTCTGTGGAGTTCTGTGCCATTTTCCAACAGCTGCCAGTGCTGGAGCGTGGAGTGGCCAAACCAACATTGCTCCAGGAGTACCAGGGCTTCAGAGTGTGAAGACAAGGCAAGCTCAGCAGCCAAAAATTACAGAAAATCCACTCCAGCTGTACCCAAAGCTCATGTTTTTAGGCAGTGCTTTGGTAGCTATTTAACTCCCTCCCTCCTGCCTGTAGAGCTGCAGGAGATGTTCCCAAGGTGCTGTGTAACCAGGGGACACATTGCACTGCATGGGCAAGAAACCTTTTTGTGTCCTGACTGCTGACACTGGCAAAAAGCTTAGGAAGTCAAGCAATTAGCAAAGGCCCACAGCCAGAGAAGCCCAAGTGAAGGGCTCACAGTGCCCCAGCTCCCTGGCTCTTGCAGCAACGCCACTTTTAATGCTGTTAATTGGAAGCTTGAAGAGAAAGGAACTCAGCACAAGCAAGAAAAGCGGGACCGGGACACCAGTTCTGGCCCCTCCCTCGGGATGAACCAGGGGAGGAAGGACCAAATGTTTGCTGCCTCATTAACAGACAGCACTGGAGCTGATTGTGCTCCTGGAGCTGTGCACACTGAGCCAGTCCTGTCCCCTGGCAGGAGGGTGAGCAGCTGCAATTAAAAGTTACACGGAAAACACCAAGTTCTGCTTTGAGTCACATCAGTGAGATCAGGAGAGCTGTGACTGAGAGTCTTCAGCACTGAGATGAAACAAAACCAAACAGGAAACTGCTCCCTGAGACTTCCAAGGCTGAGGAGCTGAAGGAATCACTTTTAATCACCAAGGAAAAACTCCACTTTTCCTGAGTTCGAACTGAGTGGCAGAACATAATTCAAGAACAGGGAAAAAAGTGCATCAGTACAACAGTCTCCTGGAAGTTTTCACCTTTAATGGCCTCATCGTTTATTTCACAGAGTCACCTTTCATCTTCAGCAACCCCTCAGCCAGAATCCTGCTGTTTCTGCAGGAGGGAAAAGGATCTCCAAGTTTGCTTTATCAAGGGAGGCTGGAACTGAAGCACAGGCTACACCTGCCCCGTGAAGGGCTAACCCAGCCAGCCCTCCCCTGCTGGACACAGCCCTCAGCAGGCTGTGCTTCCCCAAAAATTGCTGCCAAATGTGGTATAAAAGTCAAGCACAGGGTATTTGAGTGCAGTTTTATGCCACCTCAGTAGGAGCTGCCTCTTCTACCAACACATAACAAGGAAGTTTTCACAACAGACATTTCTGCCAGGGAGGAATTACAGTATTTGCCACCCTGAACAAACAGAATGCTACAGAGCATTCCCTTCACTCTCCTGACACCCCAGGCTCTGCAGGAGATGGTTAGTTTGGCAATGTTTTCTTTGTGTTACTATAAATCATCAGCTCAGGTATAAAATCATTTAGGCTGGTCCCAGAGAACCTCCCCACACCAGGGACATTGGCAGTGCTGGTCCACCCAGCTCACACTCAAACAAAGCATTCTCCTCCAAAGGAAAAAGGAACTGTGCTTTCATTTTGTGCAATACTTACTTTTTATTCCAACCACTGTAATGGATAAAGTATTTCACTTGCTTGTCCTTTATGGCAACCTTTACACACTGGAAGAGAGAGGAAAGGTCAGTCAGCCCCAAAGAGAACAAGGAGACTGGAATGAGTTTTGCTTTTTTAGCTTTCAGTTTAAACAAAGAGATTTCCGTGCAAGCACCTGGAATCCTGGCAGCTATTCCACAGCAGACACTGCCCTCTGACCCACATTACTGCCCAGTGAGGGACTGGGAAGGGCAAAGCACAGCTCTCCAGAGGGATTCCTTCCTTCAGGAGCAGGACCAGAACCCCTGAGGATGCCCCAGGAACAGCCAAGCAGCTGCTTCCCTGCTCCAGGTGAGCCAAAGCCATTCCCTGGAGCTCATTCCCATCCAGCACCCCCCCTCACAGACAGGTCAGCTGCTGGAACACAGGAACATCCCAAAGTAAAATAAATGACAGGGATGTCCCCAGCCACAGAGAGAGCCTTGTGTTCAGAGAGAGCTGCAGTAAGGGCTTCTTCTGGGTTAAGAATGTAAACGGGAGGTAAATAAACACAGTTCTTTCCATCAGAAGACTGGCCTAGGGATACAGCTCAAGCAACCACAGGCACATTAAAAACCCAGCCAGGGACAGGCCTCTTCCTGAAAAAACAGCCCAGAACAGAAAGTCCATAACCCCAGCTAGGTCAGTTTTGTGCCCACCACAGGTCCCTGAACCCCTTGGCTATACAAATTAAATCCAACTTCAGCACTTCACCCCCAGAGCCACAGTGGTGTTGTGGAGATGCTGAGACACAGGTGCCACTTGACAGTGACAGAACAAGGGTGCTGTAAAACAGGAACAATGACCCTCTGTGGCTCCAGCTTTTAGCTGCTTTTTAAGGATTTTTTTCCCCACTGAAGTAAAAACTACTCACAGAAGTTATAATTGCTATTTTATTGCCATGCTGAATCACCCCTAAGTGTTATATAGTGTTCTGCTATACAACTCAAGAACACAGTGTGATGTACCCTTTTTAATTAAAAAAAACCCTGCCAACAGAGAGGAACATCATATTCCAGCAACCATCTCCAAAATGCCACATATGGAACTTAAACTCAGGCTCACTAGACTTGCACCCAGGAGTAAGGTTATGCTGCTCCTGCTGGAGCCAGTCCTGCACCAGGGGCTCATTCTGACAGCCTGAAGTTAAACCCAGCCAAACACAGACTGTGCCTGTCCCTACTTGTCTTGAAGAACAAAAGGGCTGAGCACAAAGCAAAAGATGACTCAAGTATATTTCTGTACCAAAATATTTTCTTTGCTGGAGGTTAGAAGTGTTTTAAGTGACTCTCATTTAACTCTGCATTGTGGAGATGTACAAACAGTTCCCCTTTGCCACAGCTCCTCACGCTCCTCTAACACACACAAGTGCTTCCCTGACCATCCTGCTGTGGGACAGCCCAGATGTGGTCAGGAACAAAACAACCCATGAATTGAGAGTCACTGAAGAAAAACAGATCAAAGGAACAGGAAGAAAGCAAAGGTTATTATTAATTACTACTTACAAAGCACCTTTTAATATTAAATGCTTCTAAGTAAATAAAGAAAACATTTTACAATTAAAATACAAGTTTATTCTGCCAGGACAGGAACTCAGAAGGATCTACTCTTATACAAACAGCCAGCCAAAAGCTTCTTGCCTGTTGGGAAATCCCTTCCAGCACCAGGCTGGCAGAGCCAGACCCTGCTTAAATCCCACTCTGGATAAAGGAGAGGGACACAGCATGGAGTGCTTCCCTGCCACCAGCCCTCTGAAGCTGCCCCATCAGTTAACATTCACTGACACTAAATCCTAGTGGATTTAAATCCCTGTTTGAGGTGCCCCAGGAATTTCTGCAAGTCCTCTAACCCCAAGACCTACAGCAGCCCTTTTTTCCATTTCAGCAGGGAAATCCAGAGCTGCACCTCCAGCAAACCTGAGGCAGCAGGGTTACCCTCCACATCACAGATCTGCAATGCAGGTTCATGTGGTTAAAAAGCCAGAACTGGGAAGCAGAACTGGGAATGCCACTTCCTTTATGACTGTAACCCAGCAGCTCCAAGTCCTGCAGGTGCAAATGCTTCCCAGTGTTCTGGGAACACGGCTCTGTCGGATATTCCAACATGTGAAACCACCCAGCCTTTGGGAGTTTACCAGAATAACTGCAGCACCACTGGGTTTCCTGATTTTTTTTTTAATATTATAAAGCTCCAGGATTTAAAATTTCACACATCATCAGGTTTTCATTAATTTTCATTTCAGTCCTTGATCCCACCTAGTGAGGCACAGCAGGGAAACTGAAGCAATTCCTTATTTTCCTGGGGGGCAGTGAGAACCACCTGCAGCAACAAGCTGTCACTCTTACCTTTGCTTCATAAAGGAGAGGTCCATGGAAACAAAGCACTCGCTCACCTGGAAGAAAGGTCCAGATAAACATCTTAGAACACCCCAGTGCCATCTCCATAGTGTCAGCCAGGCCAGCTGCACACAAACCAGGGCCAGGCCTGCCCAGAGTGGGGCACAACAGCTGGGACTTTGGCAGGGAACTGCCACCAAAACTCACATCCCTGCCCCCACATCAGGCACTCCCACACCCCACTGCAAGGCTGGCACACACAGCTCCCTCAAAGCCTCCAGCTCTGGCTGCAGGCCCCAGAAATACACTGGCTCCATACAGCACACTCCAGTCCAAGTGCTCACACAGCAAACAGGGAAAACTGCCTGGCTCCGAGGGATCCTTCAGCCCTGTGACACCACACTTTGGTCCCCACCAGGACATTAACTCTCCTGAGAGATCCCACCCCTGCACCTCAAGCTTCTGACACATGAAAGCCACTGTCACCTGTGCACCTTTCCCTGCAGGAAGAACAGCACCTGGTATTCCCAGTGCAGTGCAGTCAGGAAGAGACACACCCCCACACTTCCCCATCTGATGTGTGGGATGGAACAGTGCTGGGTCTGTGCAACAGCAACAAAAACTGTTCACTTCGGGGGTTTTATGCAGGATGAGACTGTTCTTCAGCCTGTTTTTTTTTTCTCCTCAGTGGCAAGGCCTTACTGTGTGGTTACACTGTGGGAATTTCAATGTACTTCACAGGATACCTGAGCCCAGACGTTTCCTTCTGGAAGCTGCAGTGCCTCACATTTTTTTGGGGAGATGAACTGCAACGTGGGAGATGAGCTGCAGAACTATAAAATGCTTCTGTGTATCAAGAAAGCAAAAGATTTAGAAAGGTTCTCACAGAAGTGCCCATTTTGATACATGACACAGTCAGTACTTTTATTTAAACAAAGCAAATGTCAGTATAATTAAAGCTGACAATCAGAGGTGACATTATTCCCCTCCTGTGTCACCTTGCTGGTGGAAACACCTCTCTATTTCCACTGCTGCTCAATGTTTTCTAGGTGAGATGTCCGCAGCTCCTGCGGAATACTTATTTTTAAAAAATCCCACAGGCGTTTGGCGTTCTTTGTTTCCGTGATAACCCGGCAGGCTCTCGCTCCCTCACTGCAGCCTCTCCCGTGAGTCCCCGCACTGCAGCGACACAGCCACACCTCTCCCTGGTCCCAAAGGCCGCCCCGTCCCATCGCACCCTGCCCTGCCCGGGGACACCTCCCGCTGTCCCAGGCTGCTCCCAGCCCTGTCCAAAACCCGGCCCTGGGCACTTCCAGGGATGGGGCAGCCACCTTCCTACGTTACTGTTTTTATTTCTCTTATTTATATCACTGCCAACCACAATCGTAAGTTAAAAATCCAAATATGCGCAGAAAAAAGCCTGGCCGAGGAGCCCGATCCGCGCTCGTTCCGCCCAAACCCCGGTGCTTTGTGGCAAACGTGGATTCCAGCACAGCCGCGATCCCGGCGCTGATCCCCCTGCTCTGAGATCCCTCTCGGGGAAAAACAAACCTTCCACGGGCGAGGAAACGACCCCCTGACAGCCCCGGGGACCGCAACAGTTTTAACGCCCGGGAAGGTCCAGGCCCTTCACCGGCACTGGAGCGAAAGGCGAGGAGCCGCAGGGCCCTCAGAATAACGGGGGGTGGGAAGGGCCCGAGCGGCACTGGGAGGAAAGAGCGGGCACAGGAAGAGACAAAGACTGCGGGAATTCGGCTTTCCCACGAATTCCCAAATCCTCAGGGCTGAGCAGCGGGGGATTAGAGCGAGATCACCCTCAAGGCACCAGCGCTGGGCGCGAATCGCCGCAGCGGGCAGCGACCGGCGGCCGCCACCCCCCCGGGCCCCTCGCAGGGCCCCCCGCCCGCTCCCCTCGCACTCACCCTCCTGGAATTTGGGCTTGGGATCCTGCTTGGGCGCCATTTATAAGGGCCGGTCCCTGCTCCGCCCGCTCCCCGCGGGGCCTCAGCGCCCGCGCCGCATCCCGGCCCGGCCCCGCCGCGCAGCCGCGCCCCGGGCATGGCGGGACATGGAGTCCGGGCCATCCCCGCCCCCGCCGCTCGCCGTGCGGGGGCACAGCACAGCGCCGGGCGCGCAGTGGCGGCCGCCGGGGCCGCGAGCAGCGAGAAAAGGGGAAAAATAATGAAAAAAAAAATAAGGAAGGAAGAGGAAAATTTCATGCGCCCAACGTGGGGCTCGAACCCACGACCCTGGGATTAAGAGTCCCATGCTCTACCGACTGAGCTAGCCGGGCGCTGTGATGCTCGTGCGCCGCCCTCGCCACTCGGCAGAGCCCGCGCGCCCGGCGCTGCGGCCGCCAGGGGGCGCGCGCGGCCCCCTCGTTTGCATATTACGTCATCGCTTAATTAAATATACATCTCCCTCTCAAGGCCGGCAGGGGCGGAGAAGAGGGAGACGCGGCCTTCCCGGGACAGCTGCGGGGTGTGGGGGCCACGAGCGGCACCAGGAGGGGTGTTTAATGGCGCCGAGTTACCGCAGGTTTGCGCTCCCGGTTCGTTTTTAGCCTGAGAGGAAATAAAGAGAGGCAGCGAGGGGTAGCACCGGCTGGGGGGGGACACGGCGGCGCCAGCCAAGCGCTCTTTCCCATTTTCAACGAAAATTCGCCGAAATGTTTCCTTTTCCACCGCAATCCCCGCGGCGGAGAACGGAGCGCAACGGGAGCGCCGCCAGGGGGCGCCCGAGCGCCGCGCCGAGCCCGCTGCCCGCCCGGAGCCCCGCCCCCGATGCGCGTAGCCCCGCCTCCACGCTCAGAGCCCCGCCCCCGTGCTCAGAGCCCCGCCCCCGATGCTCAGAGCCCCGCCCCCGATGCTCAGAGCCCCGCCCCCATGCTCAGAGCCCCGCCCCCAATGCTCAGAGCCCCGCCCCCGATGCTCATAGCCCCGCCCCCCCGCCCCTGCCGGCGGGAGCCCCCAGCGCCGCAGCCATGGCGGCCCCGGCCGGGCTCCTACCCTTCCTACCCCTCCTGCCCCTGCTGCCCCTCCTGCCCGGCCTGGCGCTGGCCGCGGGCACGGCCGCAGGGACCGCGGGGACAGGTCCGCGCGGGGACCGCGGGCGGGGCGCGCGGGGTGTCCGCGGGGATGCTCGGGGATGGATGCGGGATGTCCGCGGGACGCGGGGATGTCTGCGCGGATCCCCGCGGGATGTCCGTGCGCCGTGGGGATGTCCGCGGGGCCGTAGCTGGGCACCCCGGTGCCCCCCGCCGCTGCAGCCCTTCCCCGGAGCAGGGTCGGACCCGGCTCCCCCCGGGCACTCCCCGGTGCCCCTCGGCTCCCCCCGGCACTCTCCGGTGCCCCCCGGCTCCCCCCGGCACT